TCTACACACACACACACACACACACACACACACACACACACACACACACACACACACACACACACAAGCACTTGAATGTGCACAGCATTCGCGCATCAGTGCGTGGGCTAACCAGGAGCCCATCAGTTTGGGTGCGGAGGAGAGGGGCGCTGCGCATGCGCACGATTTCTGCCGGCTTTGCGGTCCGGTTCCCCTCGTCGTTCTGTACATTTGTCCACTTGTCCGCTTTCATGCGCTGCTGCGCCAGCTCATGATAGGAGTGCGAGCGCGCAACTGGTGTTATGGTCGTGTGGACGGATGTGGATGAGTGCGTGAGTGTGAGTGTGAGGATGTGCGTGTGTGCGCTGGAGTGTGAGTGAGGATGTCTGTGTGTGTGCCTGTGTGTGCGTGATGAAGTGCGCGTATGTGTCTGCATACGTTCGAACGGTCATGGAAGACCAAGCAACTGACGAGTGCATATAGACGGTGTTCACACAGCCATGCTCAAACTTACGCAGTGACAGGATGCCATCGTTGGGCGATGGCGGCTGCTTGGCGTTCCGACGAGCGGGTAGGGTATGCGTATGATGCGTATGGTGAGAAGCAAGTCAAGTATGCAACACGAGTTGCAATGCAGGCGAACAAGACCTTCCACTCTGCTGACGCCAACAACAACACGAACACCAACGCAGCAGCACCAGCAACAACGCCAACAACAACACGAACACCAATGCAGCAGCACCAGCACCAGCACCACCACGCACCGCCTTTGCTGCCTTGCGTCGGGTCTCTGGGGAATCTGGGCAACTGCGTGGCAGCGGCGGCTGATCGGACATCCAGTCCACCTCGCCCTTGTCCTCCATCAGCGATGATAACCGCAGGTGCGATGCAGACATGCGGCGCCTGCGAAATAACGTGGAGAGGTGGGTGTCGAGCACAACGAGAGTGTACATGTGTGTGTGTGTGTGTATGTGTGTGTGTGTGTGCGTATATGTGTGTGTACGTCTGTGTGCGTGTGTACGTCCGTGTGGGTGCGTACACCTGTGCCAACAGCAACAACATTTGGCGCACACTACAAAGCAGGACAAGATGGTGGTGCTCACTGCAGAAGCGGCGCAGTCGGTGCCGAGGATTTCCTGTTGTTGGGGAGTGTGAAACGGGCGAGCACAAGCGGAATGAAGGGATGTGCAATAGGTGAGGAAGGTGGAAGATAGAATACAAGCAGGGTTGTCTCGTTGTCAGTGCACGTGTGCAGGGTTCACGAGCGTGAGAGCAAGATAACGCAATACTAACGCTGGTTTGCTTGTCCGGGAGACGGAGGACTGTGCAGTGGATGGATGTGGTATTCAGACGTGAGCAATCTGCACTAGTTGGCGATGCACAGCACACACGCACTCTCTCTCACGCACAGCTAGTGGGGTACTCACAAATACTCGCACGCGCAAATACACACAGCGCAGCGCAGTGCACGCGAACACACAGGGCACAGCAGCACGTGTGCAGAACGCGAGTACGCACGGTGTGGGAGGAGTAGGCGCCCTCGACCCAGCGGATGATGTTCTCGTCAATTTCTTCGTTCAGCTGCATCTCCTCCAGGCGCCGGTGCGCCAGCTGTTGGATCTGAACACGGAGAAGAGAGAGGGGGAGGGAGGTTGTGTGAAGTGCATGTGAAGTGCATGTGAAGTGCATGTGAAGTGCATGTGATGTGGGTGCTGTGGGTGCGTGATGTGTGACAGGGCGTGAGCGACGCTGCGCTGCGACTGCTGCAGTGCGTCGGTGTTCTTGGTGTCACCGCGTAAGCTTGTACGGGTATATACAACACACACACGCACGCCCGTATGCACGCATGATGACCAGAACGGCCAGCACACCTCGTAGTCGGCGTATTCCTTGACGGCCAGCTGGGCAAGGTTGGCGATACACCACTGCAGTCGATCCTGTGGCGGGTGCCGCCGTGTGACGCACCCAACAGGTGGCCGTGCCCTGCAGTGTGTGCGTGTGAATGTGTGTGTGTGTGTGCGTGAATGTGTGTGTGTGTATGTGTGTGCGTGTGAATGTGTGTGTGTATGTGTGTGCGTATATGTGTGTATGTGTTGTGAGTGGGGCGCGCAATCTCGTGGGGTGGCTGAGCACGTTCATTTCGCGAATGAGATTGTGTCGGTGAAGCGCGCGCGCGTTTTGTCCACTTGCACACGGCGTGGCGCATGCTGCTGAAGCTTACGGGCCAGGGAAGAGGTCCTCTTGCAGTGACAGAAGAATGGCAATCGTCTGATGACATGGACGAGCATGCGAGTGAGAAAGAGTCAGCAGAGCATACAGGGCACACATGCACAAGAGCCAGGTTGGCATTTATGTGGTGCAAAGCTGGCACATGGAACAACAACAACAACAACTTAAACAAGAACAACAACTTAAACAACAACAACAACTTAAACAACAACTTAAACAACAACTTAAACAACAACTTAAACAACAACTTAAACACCAACTCCTCTACCTCTGCGAGCGGGGATGAGGACTTTTCGAGACAGGAAGAGGCGATGCTGTAGTCGACACTGCTCTGGCGGCGCGCAGAAACGCTGTCGTCTGTGTCGGTGTGCTCGTTGAGTCTGTGGCCGTCGTCTAGGTGAAACGTGTCAGACAATTGACTATCGTCGCTGTCACTGTCCGTGTCGTTCATAAACGATACTCGTCGCCGTGCAGGCATCGTTTTCCGCCGAAGGCTGCCCTGTCTTCTCTCTGGAAAACATTCAGTTGGCGGGACCGAGTGCGACTCGCCCTCGTCCACGTCTGTCACGCTAATCTCCGCCACACTCACGTACTCGTCCTCTGCAGACATGGATGAAGTTGCAGGCGCGCGGGAAAACGTGCTGTCCAAATGTGGCGGGGGACTGTTCGCTCGGGGGAGTCGTGGTCTGGTGGCCTGGTGGCCTGGTTGCTGTCTCTTTGTCTTGTCTTCTTGTTGTTGGGGTGTAGTAGAATGGACAAGGGAGGAGCGCTCGGTCCTCTCAGCAACTGCCCCGATGTGTGCCGCGCCCACGCCACCGAGCGACCAACAAACCAAAGGCACAAACACCAAGTGGCGGGCTCGAAACGCACCACAATGCTGCGATGCACTTGCTTCACGTCTCTTGCTGCACTTGCTGCACTTGCTGCACTTGATTCTTGAATCGAGGGGAGAGTCGCCTCTCGCTTCCCCACTTGCTGCGAGTTGGGCTAGCTGGCACGACTGTGCTGGGGACGAAGAACAAGAGAAGTAAGTTTAAGCAAGCTGGGGGCTGTAAAGGTTGAGGGGGGGGGGGGGGTTGCACAAAGGCAAAATTGACTTACAATGCGATTGAGCAAAATTGCCTTTGTCCGGGCTTGAAGAGCGCACAAACACAAACACACAGACAGACAGCCTGTTTTGTTGTTCCAGCTTGCTTGTGGTGGTGTGTGCACTCCTGCTGCTCTTTCTGTGCTCATCTCTGGCTGCGTGGGTAAGACCGTGGCAAAGCTGTTGCATCAAATCACAAGATCACAGCCGTGTGCTCCCTTAGGCACACGGGAAGGAGGGAGCAGGGCTGAAAGCAAGAAAAGGGAAGGGAAAGGAAGAGAACACGGGCAACGATGACGGACCTCACTGCGTCATTGATCAACTCTCGTGAGTCGCGGGAGGGGGGGGGGTTGAGGGTGGCGCAGGAAATATAATATGGATGTGGCAGTACCTTAGTACCTTCTTCCTGCTGGTTGTCAACTTACTTGCTGTTGTTGGTCTTGCGGGTACTGGGCATTGGTGTCCCAGGCTTGGACGATGACGATGAGCAGTTCAGTGAGTCCTTTGAAATGGGCTCGCCAGACTCGCGCGCCTCAATTTCGTCCGAACTGGAAGCAAGAACGTACGTATGTTGGGGGGGGGGGGGGGCTTGAGGGGGTGAGGTGTTTTGTGTTTTGTGTTTTGTGTTGTGTGTGTGTGTGTGTGTGTGTGTGTGTGTGTGTGTGCGTGTGGATGTGTGTGTGTGTGTGTGTTGTT